GAGCCACACTGGCTGGGCTAAACAAGGTTCTTAATCTTGTCTGAGCTTTAGTTTCCTAACCTATAAAATGAGGAAAATACCCTGGCACTTATCTAGCAGCTCCCTCCCCCTTCTGTCCTAACTACAAAGATGCTCCATCATTGGTTCAGAATGCCCTGCATTTTAACTACAAATCATTCCATTACTACTTACCTTAGGAGCCACAGAAATCTGGATTCAAATCCCAGTCCTGCCATTTGCTGACTGTGTGACCTTGGATAAGTCACTTCACTTCTATGAACCTCAGTTTCCCTACATGTGAAATGGGGGCGATAACAGAACTTACCTGATTGCCTCTTCATTCATTTAGCTGATATTTAGCCACTGGCCTCTATGCACATAACAGTGGACAGGAGCTCTCAGTTCCCTGGGGAAGACAATCAGTAGACAAGTAAACATACAAACAACGAGGGCTTGGCAAAGAGTAATACTTTCATTATTATTGTTATCAATGATTCTTACTTATTAGGATGTACCACTTATAATGAAATATGTACAAGAAGCCATGCTGATATTTTCTTGTATAGTAGGGATCAGCAAACTGTCTGGTCTTTTATAGAAAAATCTACCAACTTCTGATGTAGAGAGCTTTCGGGGGCAGGAGGGAAAAAGATCCATATACTTCATTCAAATCTTTCTTCAGTTGTCATCTTTTCAGACATGCCTTCTCTGACCCCCTCCCAACAAATTTATTCTCCCACGCTGTGCCCTTTGAACCTGCCTTATTTTTCTGCATAGCGCTCATTGATTTTGTCCCCACCTCTGTCCCCAGGGGCAGGAACAATGCAGATTTGTTGACTGAATAATTATATATCCTACTTATAAAGTATCATCTTTCACCCATCTGTGTTCCATCTGATCCCTATCACGAAAGCATCCGTTTCCCTAATCCCCATCCTGTAATCCTCCGGTAATGGCCACATTTCTCTCCTCTTTACAAAGTAGCAACCCCTTCTCCCTCCTGATGAAACACTCAGTTATTTATATACAGGGCTGGGCAAAAGTAGGTTTACAGCTGTGAGTTCATGAAACATGGAGTTTATTTTTGTGTTATTAATTATTGTATTATTTTCCATATGAACAGCTGTAAGCCTACTTTTGCCACACCCTGTATATCTTATTCTTCCATCTTCTGGTTATTTAGTGTTTTTCTTCCTCTGCTCTCAAGATTTCACCAGCTACCTTAGCCGGTTTGGCTCAATTGATAGAGTGTCAGCCCTCGGACTGAGGGGTCCTGGGTTTGATTCTAGTCAGGGGCAATTGCCTCAGTTGCAGGCTCAATCCCCAACCAGGTCGGGAATTGGGGGTCAGGAGTTGAGGCTCCTGTGGGAGTTGACTGGTCAATGTGTCTCTCTCGCATTGATCTTTCTCTCTCTGTCTCTCCCCCTCCCTTCCATTCTCTCTTTAAAAAATCAATGGAAGAAATATCCTCAGGTGAGGATTAACAAAAATAAAAAATATATAACCTTCATGCCCACAATCATTTCCAACAAAATCAGCAATAATTACTTAATATCAAAACATGGCCAGTCTGTAGTCAAATCCCCGTATTTGTCCCTACATTGTCTTTTTTTACAGTTGTTTCTTTAAAACCCAAAGATCCATTTAAGGCATTCAGTTGTGTTTCTTGGGTCTCTTTTAGTCTATGACAGTCCCCCTTTGCCTTTCATGTAATGACAATAGGGAAAAAATGGGTCATTTGTCCTGAGCAGTGTCTCACATTCTTCTGCATTTGCCTGTTTGCTTTCTCATGGTGACATGTGGTATGTTCCTCTATCCCCCATATTTGCTATAAGATCTGAAGGTTTGATTAGATATAGGTGCAATTTTTTCCCCAATGCCACTTAAAATATATATACATACATACTCTTGCTTTTATATATATGTGTATATATATATATATGTGTGTGTGTGTGTGTGTGTGTGTGTGTGTGTGTGTGTGTGTGTTTTGTTTTGAGAGGGAGAGAATATATATATATATATATACCTTTCAGAGAGGAAGGGAGGAGAGAATCATTGATCGGCTGCCTTCTGCAGGCCCCACACTGGGGCTGAGCCCTCAACCTGGGCATGTGCCCTGACCAGGAATCCAACCATGACCTCCTGCTTCATAGGTTGAAGCTCACACCAGCTGGGCTTGCCCTTTTCTTTTGGTGAGAGATGGTATAACTTTGTGGTTGGGGAAGGTTATTGTCAGAAAATGCCAAGTTCAAATTCAAACTTGTCCACTGGGCTTGCTGTGGGAACTAAAACAAGCCTTTAAACTTCTCTGCGCTTTCTTTTCTTCATCTGCATTTCTTTTTATTTGATCCCCCCTCCCACATTTCTTTTTCTTTTTATTTTTTTAATATATATTTTATTGATTTTTTACAGAGAGGAAGGGAGAGGGATAGAGAGTTAGAAACATCAATGAGAGAGAAACATCGATCAGCTGCCTCCTGCACACCTCCTACTGGGGATGTGCCCGCAACCAAGGTACATGCCTTGACCAGAATCGAACCTGGGACCCTTTAGTCCACAGGCCGATGCTCTATCTACTGAGCCAAACCAGTTAGGGCCCAATGCCACTCTTTAAACTAATATTTTGCAATGCCACCTGTCCTCATTTGAAATGAAAGACAAGTAAGCAGACTCATTCAGATAATCTTAAAATAATAATATGATGTTGTAACTGTAATACCAAGGAAAAAGGAAACAAAAGCAATTTACACAAGGAACTATGCTCATTGCTGTGCTGGTGCTTGGCCATGCCTCACTAGAAGACATGGTGGAATTTCGTCGGTCGTAAGATCATGGTGAATGTGAGGCATGAGGCACAAACACCTACTAATGCGGGAGAGTGCACTGGCCACGCGGACGCAGTAGCATAGATGTTAGTGACATCATTTCCCAAAATGCTGAGCAACACTTGCAATTTCCAAACAAAACAAAGTTAGGGCTTTCACAGTCCTTGCATTCCTGGAGCCAAAATAATTAGTGTTTGTGAGCAAGATAGTTGGGTGCAAGGTGCAGATTACTATAAACAGGGTTTTCAAGGACACACATGAACAAAAAGAAAAAGTAGAATAGACGAAAAAGAAAAACAAGCAAAAAAAACAAGGACAGGCTGGGTGGCACAGTTCTCCACATGCAGCGAGAGTCCAGCTCCTAAGGTGTCCCCTGTACTTTATAGCAGCCTGGTATGCATGGTCTCATTTGATTTTTTTAAAAAGAAATGTGGGCCCTAACCGGTTTGGCTCAGTGGATAGAGCATCGGCCTGCGGACTGAAAGGTCCCAGGTTCGATTCCAGTCAAGGGCATGTGCCTGGGTTGTGGGCACATCCCCAGGAGGAGGTGTGCAGGAGGCAGCTGATCGATGTTTCTCTCTCATTGATGTTTCTAACTCTCTATCCCTCTCCCTTCCTCTCTGTAAAAAATCAATAAAATATATATTAAAAAAATAAAAAGAAAAAGAAATGTGGGAGGGGGGATCAAATAAAAAGAAATGCAGATGAAGAAAAGAAAGCGCAGAGAAGTTTAAAGGCTTGTTTTAGTTCCCACAGCAAGCCCAGTGGACAAGTTTGAATTTGAACTTGGCATTTTCTGACAATAACCTTCCCCAACCACAAAGTTATACCATCTCTCACCAAAAGAAAAGGGCAAGCCCAGCTGGTGTGAGCTTCAACCTTTTTTCTTAATAAAGTCACAAAGCTCTATTTTCTACGCTAGTCTTTGAGCACCTGGCTTCAAATCCCTGCCCTGTCATTTACCGAACTGACTTAAGGCAAATTGCTCCTCCCCGCCCCAGGAAGGTGGGTAATAGGTAGTACCGGGCTCACTAGTAAGTGTGCTAAATTACCGGGTTAAACCACACTACGTGCTCAGTGAACGTTACTGTTGCTTTAAGTCCTTACAGACATTCAGGGAGGTCTCCATTTCCCAGATGAGGACAGTGAGGCTCAGAAACGCTTAGGGACTTGCCCTGGGTCCTGCAGCCAGTCCTGCATCCACCCTGGAGAGTTTAACCCCCTCTAATGTTCCCTTAGGGCCTCCTGGGACTGCCCAGACCCCCAGCCCAGACTCCCCCGAAGGCTACTTGGAAGAGGAGGAAGGGCTGGCGCCAGAAGGCCCTGAGCTCCTGGACTTCAGTGTCGACCAAGTGGCTGAGCAGCTGACGCTGATGGACGTGGTGAGGGTGCAGGAGGGGCGCCGTGGGGTGGGGAGGAGGGGCAGGTCCGGCTGAGCACAGATCCTACCCCCACCCCCTTTCAGGAACTCTTCTCCCGCGTGCGGCCCTGCGAGTGCCTGGGCTCCGTGTGGTCCCAACGGGACCGGCCAGGGGCCGCCGGCATCGCCCCTACTGTGCGCGCCACTGTGACCCAGTTCAACCTGGTGACCGGCTGCGTGCTGGGCTCTGTGCTCGGGGCGCCGGGCCTGGCTGCCCCGCAGAGGGCGCAGCGGCTGGAAAAGTGGATCCGCATTGCCCAGGTGCCTGTTCGGGGGCGGGGCCCAGGTACCTAGAGAGGCTGGCATGGGCCGAAGGCGCAAGACTGGGGTCTGGGGGTGTGGACAGCATTGAGGCTGGAAGGTGCCAAGGGAAAAGCCGAGGACAAGGCTGTGCCCGGCGGGGGCCCGGGTCACCGAGGAGCGGGGTAGGCCTTAGGATAAGAGGATGGGATGGGTGTGATCGGGCGGGTACGGGACTGGAGGAGGGACCAAAGCCCAGAGAAGGGGGCAGGGGTCCCGGTGAAGACTAGGTAGGGGCGGGGCAGGAACCTCTGGTCAGAGAGGGAGAGACAGAAATGAGGGCCCTGGAGAGAGGGAGGGCGCGTGGCCAGAAGAGGGAGCGGAAAGGTTGAACCTGGCCTGAGACTTGGGTTCCGGAGAGATGCCGCGGGCGCCTCTAGTGCCCACAGAGAAGTTAGAGTCGGAGACAGAAGCCAAGGTCAGAGGTAGGGGCTGCGGGGGGAGCGGCCGGGCAGCAGGTGGGGAGAGGGAGGGACTCCGGAGCGGGAGACGGTCCTGGTAGCCTGTCCGATGTGGGGCCAGTCGTAGAGGTCGGACCTGGGGTGGGAAGTGAGGAGACCATCGGAGGCGGATTATAGCTGGTCAGGCTTGGGGTCTGAGCGGCGCCCCACCCCTCCCTCCCCAGCGCTGCAGGGAACTGCGGAACTTCTCCTCCCTGCGCGCCATCCTGTCCGCCCTGCAGTCCAACCCCATATATCGGCTCAAGAGCAGCTGGGGCGCTGTGAGCAGGTGAGCAGGGATGGGGAGAGAAGCTGGGGCGAGACCTCCCTGACCCTCCCCGCCCTGACCCTCTCCTGTCCCCCACAGGGAACCGTTATCCACGTTCAGGAAACTTTCGCAGATTTTCTCGGACGAGAACAACCATCTCAGCAGCAGAGAGATTCTTTCCCAGGTACAGAGGCCCGGCCCGGGACCTGGGGCGGACAAGGCACAGGCTGTCCTTGTCCTAACGTTCAGCGTCCTTCCCTGCACCCCAGAAATGACCTTGTCCTTGTGTGTGGGCAGCCCGAGTTTTTACTGCCTCTGCTGCCCTCATGATAGTTCACACTTGCTAACCGCCTTATTTATTCATTCAACAAATACCAGAAGTTACAAGGAAAAGGTCACTCAAGGCTAGAGTCACAGCGAAGAGTGAAAAAAAAATTGACTTTAATAAGCAAAACTAGCAAACGTGTGCCCACAGATCAGACTTACTGTAGGCAAGATCGAGGTTCTAAATGCAGTTAGGGTGTTAGGCTGAGTCCAGAAAAGATGGGACAGTCCTCACATTCACCTCCTGCAGGTCCCTACCCAGATGTTCCCTCCGAGGTGCCCTCCCTGTGCCCCCAGCATCTCATTCTTTTTTTAAAAAGAATGTATTTTTGTTGATTTCCAAGAGGAAGGGAGCGGGAGAGAGAGATAGAAACATCAATGATGAGAGAGAAAATCATCAGTTGGCTGCCTCCTGCAGGCCCCTCACTGGGGATCAAGCCCCCAACCCGGGCATGTGCCCTGACCAGGAATCGAACTGTGACCTCCTGGTTCATAGGTCGCTGCTCAACCATTGAGCCATGGGGCTGGGCTCTATTGTTCTTTTCTTATCTCTGAGTATCCTTAATTACATGTTAAGTTTGGTTGTTGCTCTCTCTTCCTCCCTGATGTCTGCTCCATGAGGCGTGTTTTTGTATGTTTTACTCACTACTGCTTCCCCAGGACCCAGAGCAGTGCCTGGCCCAGAGCAGGCTCTCAATTAATATCTGTGAGTGAATGAATATCTCAAGGAACAAGGAGCTCTGCCTTAAGCACCTACTGTGTACCAGGCACTATGCCAGGAGGCTTGGCCAGGAACCAGAGAGACACAGTTCCTGCCCTGGGGATCAGACCCCAGACAGGGGAGACACACAGGGCAATGATAGCTGCCCCCGAAATGATATAATTAACCAGGCAGAACGATGCCATGAAGGCAAGTTCAGGGCATTCCCAGGGGATTGCCTGAGGGCCTGGTCCCTCAGACCTGGGACGAAGATTCTCACCTGTGCTGAGGCTGTCCCTGGGGGCCATGGCACCCACAAGCCCCACCTCCAGTCATCCTCAGTGGGACCTACCCCCTGCCACTGATCTGCTCCCTTCCTCCCTCCCCCTGTTCACTTTCCTTGGAGCGTGACCTTTGCAACTAGTTTGTCATTGCTAAAAGCAAAATGGGCCCGGCCTGCATGGCTCAGTGGTTGAGCATCTACCTATGAGCCAGGAGGTCACGGTTCAATTCCAGGTCAGGGCATATGCCGGGGTTGTGGGCTTGATCACCAGCGTGGGGCGTGCAGGAGGCAGCCGATCAATGATTCTTGATGTTTCTCTCTCTCTCTCTCTCTCTCTCTCTCTCTCTCTCTCTCTCTCTTTCTCTCTCCCCCCATCCTCTTTGAAATTAATAAGCATATATTTAAAAATAAATTTAAAAAAATAAAAGCAAAATGGGTGTGTATTGAGGCTTCTTCCCTGAAGGAGAGGTCCGAGAGACCCCAGATCTGCTCAGTTCTCCTGCCCACAGGAGGAGGCCACTGAGGGACCCCAAGAGGAGAATACGCCCCCAGGGAGCCTGCCTTCAGTGAGTGGTGGTAGTTTGGGGTGGGGGACAAGCGGGACCCTCATGGAAGGGGGTGGAGCGTGATGGGGTCTGTGATGGTGGAGAGTGACTGGAGCTCTGGGGGCCACAGAAACTGCCCCCAGGCCCGGTTCCCTACCTTGGCACCTTTCTCACGGACCTGGTTATGCTGGACACAGCCCTGCCGGACATGCTAGAGGTCTGACTCCTGACCCTTGACCCCAGTACCACTTGCCCTCAGCACAGTGGCCTCCTGACATCCCACCTTTGACCCTGCCTGCAATCCCAACCCCAGCTCCCTTAGTGCAGTAGGGCTCCTGACATCCCAACCCCTGACCTTGACCCTCCATCAATCCTTAATCCTGGAGACTCCAATTCAGACAAAGTTTTCTCCCAGGGGGATCTCATCAACTTTGAGAAGAGGAGGAAGGTGAGTGGGTGGTGGGGTGGGTGTGGGAGGGGCCAGGGTGGGGTCAAGGCAGGGATGAGGTCTCAGAAACCATACCCTCAGGAGTGGGAGATCCTGGCCCGAATCCAGCAGTTGCAGAAGCGCTGTCGGAGCTACTGCCTGAGCCCCTGCCCACCCATCCTGGCTGCCTTGCGAGCCCAGCGCCAGCTCAGTGAGGAGCAGAGGTGACCACCCTGTGGCCTGGCCCAGCCCCACCTCAACTGACCCTGATTTGCTTACCTTGTACACCTCTCCAAATCCTTCTAAGGCCACCCCCTTCCTGAGCCTTGACCCCCAACCTGTGTCCTTGCATTATCTACAGCCCAATTGAGGGCCCCAAATGACCTCCAACCTTAAATTTGACTCTATCTGACTTTCTGACTTCAACTCAACCATCCCTTCTGTTTTCTTCCCACCTCTGACCCTATCTGACCCGTGATCCAATTCATGACTCCCATCTGACTCCGAGCCCAATCACTGACCCCCAATTTTGAGTAATTGACTCCGACTTTGACGTATATTTGACCGTCCAACTCAACTATCCCAATTATTTCCTTCATTCTGGGGAATCCATGACTCCAGTGATTACCTGACCTTGAATTCTATTCTTGACCCAATTTGACTCCTCAGTCCCACCTGTGAATCCCTGTGTGACCTGCTGGCCAAGCCATCCCATCTCATTCCTAATAAGACCCCGTTTCTTTATGACCCCATTTACTACTCTGACCCTGGTATTTGGTGCTCAGTACTTGGCTGTTCCCCACAATGTCCAAACCCAGCTCCCAACTGATTCTAATTCTCGTCTCCCAATGCCCCCATCTGCACCTTGACCCTCAGCTACCGTGTCTCCCGTGTCATTGAACCACCAGCTGCCTCCTGTCCCAGCTCCCCACGTGTGCGGCGACGAATCAGCCTCACCAAGCGTCTCAGTGCGTGAGTCTTGGGAATGTGGGTGGGGTGATAGGGGCAGAGACAGGGGCTGCTTCTGGCTCTGAGTTTGGCCTCATCCTCATCCCCTGTCCCATCCTCAGGAAGCTGTCCAGAGAGAGAGGCTCCTCTCCTGGTGGGAGTCCTGGGGACCCCTCATCCCCCACCTCCAGGTGAGCATCCTGTTTAGTGAAGGAATTGGAGATGGCAGGGTCAGAGGTCGGGGTAGCCACACCACCTCAGGCTCTGTGTCTCTCCCAGTCTGTCCCCAGGGTCTCCCCCATCCAGTCCTAGGATGAGGGACCCTCCTCCTGGAAGTCCCCCAGCCTCTCCAGGGCCCCAGGGCCCCAGCACCAAGGTACCAGGACTGCCTGTGTGTGCATTTGGGACTGTGGGCACCCAGGGCTGTGTGTGTGTGTGTGTGTGTGTGTGTGTGTGTGTGTGTGTGTGATTTGAGGCCAGGCATGTACACAGGAGATTGAACTCATGCTTGGCTCAGCACTGGGGGTGTCTGTCCAAGGGACCATGTACATTTTCATGGCCCTGATTGAGAAATTGGCTTGTGCTCAGATCTGGACCTGTGTGTCTGCTCGCCCATGGTGCAATCCCACATTTTGCTAGAATTGGTGTGTCTCCAGGAATTTGCATTCCTGAAGCGGAAATGTGGGTATGAATATCCACCATATCCACAGGCCCATGTGCTGGCTGTTCATGGATATGGACTTATATGTGTGCAGCAACTGTGAGCATATGTATGTGCTCTCTGTTCTGTGTACATAGGATATTTTGTGTGTGAACATGGGTGTGTGTTTATCAATCATGTAAATGTGTGTAACAGGAAATGAAGGTCTGTATGTGATGGGATTGCACAGATGTGGACTTGTGTGTATGTGTCCTAATTGTGTGTCCCCGGCTTTGGGTGTATAGGGGCATGTGTTGAATGCATTAATAAGGAAAGGGCCTAATGCTCTCCCACTGCTCAGCTCCCATCCCCCACTGCTTACAGCTGCCCCTGGCCTTGACCCTGAGCTGTCCTGGAATCTCCCACGTGGGGCAGCAGGGCTCAGAGACCCGGGTCATCCGAGTCAGCATCGACAATGACCATGGGAACCTGTATCGGAGCATTCTGGTGAGGAACGGGCCGGGACCTGCTGAGGGCAGCCCTGCCCTTGGGGCTCAGACTGTCACCTCTGACCTCCCGCTTCCTTTTCCCAGCTCACGAGTCAGGACAAGGCCCCCAGTGTGGTGCAGAGAGCCTTGCAGAAGCACAATGTGGCCCAGTTCTGGGCCCGTGACTACCAGCTCTTCCAGGTCCTTCCTGGGGAAAAGGGTGAGCAGGGACAGCTCGGAGCCTTGGGTGGGGGGCAGCTGGGAGATGGCCCTAACAGGGCCAGGAGGTGGTACAGGCACAGGGCAGGGATAAGATGAAACTGAGTGGGGGTAAGAGGCAGTAAAATATTTGTTCCTCAATTATATGAGTCATGTGGTTATCCTGGCTCAGTGCAAGGCAAGAGGGCACCTGGGATTATGGGGAAATGAGATTGCCCAGGGTTAGACAAGAGGGACTGTAGAAGCTTGTCTAGGCTTAAATGTATAGGATCATGAGGTTGCTCAGGCTTAACTCGGTGGGGTGCAAGACTGAAGGGGCTCTGGTCTTCAATTTAAGGGGAAATGAGTTTGTCCAGGCTCAGCCTGGGGAATCTGAAGGTGTCTGAACTTGGCACAGGAGAAGGCCAAAAGGTATTGAAATTCAGGGTAGGGGAGCATGAGGTTGTTCAATGTAGGAGGTTTATTCAATTTTTGCAAGGGAGAGTCAAGAGGTTGCTATATTAAAGAACACAACATGAAGTAGGCCGGACATTAGGAAGGAAGGAATATATGAGGCTCAGGTGTTAAGGGCCATAGGTTGTGCAGGCTGGAAGTAGGAAGTCAGAGTTATCCAAGTTCATGGTAATAGCAGCATGAACTTGGCTGGGAATCGGCTATGAGGAGAGGGTGGGGTAGGAAGGAAGTTGTTTGGGATGGGTGGCCTGAGTTTGCCCAAGCTTGTAGTACAGGTTGTCTAGACTCCAGGGGAAGTGGCAGGAAGTTGCCCAGGTTTGTGGTGGGGAGGAGACATGACGTTGTGCAGGCTTTGAGTGGGAAGTGGTCCAGGTTCCCAATGAGAGGAGAATGAGGTTGGCTTAGCACTGGCTGAAGGGACCCAAGGTTGTTCAGGCCTCAGGGTGAATGGCAGAAGGTTACCTAGGTCCCTTGTGGGGGAAGTATGCGGTTGTGCGGACCTTTCATGATTATGTCCACACCTGGCCAGAGCTCCTGATTCCTGACAACGCCAATGTCTTCTATGCCATGAGTCCAGCCGCCCCGGGAGACTTCATGCTGCGGCGGCGGAAGAAGGAGGAGGCCCAGCACACAACCTCAGTCTCCCCGACCTGAGCTGGCTCTCTCCTACCTCCAGGACACAGGTCCCATGGGCAGCTTCTGTCACCATGGGGGCAGGAAGGGCACCCTCTCCCAGAAAGCTCCCATTCCCCAGTAGAGCCCATTGTGCTCCATACCCTGTGACCCCCTCCCCCCACCTTCACTGGGCCCCATCCCACTGACCCTCTTGGCACTGGATCCCTATTCCAAAGTCTTCAGCTCACAGGGTGGCTGGTGGAGAGCTCTATTGCATACTGGGGGTCAGACCCTTCCCTAGAGAAATCTTGTAACTGTTGGAGATGCATCACAATGGACAGAAGTAGATGAAAACAGTGACCAAAGATATGAAACAGGAGTCAGTCTTATTTGTTTGGTGCCTGTGCCTCATGTTCATTCTTCATTAAGATTAAAAAATGTAAAAGAAAAGAACCAAGAACCCTAAGGAAAGGATTGGGTGAAGCATGACCAGACACTGGGGGAGGGTGGCTATCATACACACAGGTTTCAGGACTCCCTCCCCCAACATTTTTGGGGTAATATGCTGCTTTTCTGCTGTGTGTATGGGAGATGAAGAAATGAAATTCCATTGGAATCAGAGACAAATAACATCATCACCCATGAGTCAATAGAGCTATGAGGACAAAAGTTGGGGCTGAGTTGTCTCTCAGTACTGGGGTAGGAAGGAGAGACAGGTAGAGCCCATCCTGGCATGGCTCAGTGGTTGAGCATCGACCTATGAACCAGGAGGTCATGGTTGGATTTCCCGTCAGGGCAAATGCCCGGGTTGCAGGTAGGGGACGTGCAGGAGGCAGCCGATCAATGATTTGCTCATCATTGAAGTTTCTATTTCTCCCTCTCCTTTCCTCTCTGAAATATATATGTAATTTTTATTTGTTTAAAGAAGAAGAAACAGGTCAAGAAGGCTGAGATGGAGTGAGCTATAGGGCCATCTACAACAGTCACAGCAAGAACAATAATATGCCCACTTATGAACTCTGCTCTGTGCTGGACAATAACTAGGGGCTCTATATTTCACTGTACAGTGGGGCCTTGACTTATGAGTGTTCCGACTAACGAGTTTTTTGAGATACCAGCTGTCACTCGGCCGATTTTTTGCATTGAGTTGATAGAGTAATTTGAGTTAACGAGCTCCTTAACGAGCTCGGTCTCGGAACGAATTAAACTCGTAAGTCAAGGCCCCGCTGTATTAATGAAGATTCTTTATGTTTCAAGTGGTCAAAAATCCAATTCAAACAGGCGTATGCATAAAGGAAATGAATGGCTTGTGTAATTTAAAAAGTTCAGTGGGTCCACTTCAGGTACAGTTGGATCCAGGGACTGAAAAGATGTCAGGATTTTGTTGCTGTCTCTTGGCTCCAATTTTGCTCTAAGAATGAGACTGTCTGTTGTCCCCTCAAATCCAATCACCTTCTATGGTGATAGAACTAGTGATTTTTACCTGGTCACCCAGAGTGAAAACTGCCTTTCCAGTCTCCTTTGCAGCAAAATGTGATCATGTGACTAAGTCCTGGCCAATGAGATGTAAAAGGAAAGGATGTGGGCAAATGGTAGGTCCTGCTCTTAAAGAGGTAGTCCTCCCCTTCCTCCTCTTCTGCCTCCTGCTGTGTGGAGTGGATCCTGTGGGGTCGGGTGAGCCACACCCTCTAAATAACTGAGCAACAAAAGGAAAGGAGCATGGAGCCGCCATATTGTATTGCTGCTACTTGGATTGTTGCATAAGAGAGAAATAAATGTCTATTTTACTTGAACCACTATTTGGGTTTCTATTACAGTAGCCAGAAGAACATTTTAAGTAACATAGCTCCACTCCAAGGCAGGCTCACACCTCCTGGGAGCATTGCCAGGCTTACATCCCACCGTCTCCATCCTCCTATGCAAGGAGAACAAACCCCTTTCTCCCATCAGGCCCAGCAAAAGTCCCACAGCAGATGCCCATTGGACCAATTGAACCAATAGCAGCGGTTCTCAACCTGTGGGTCGTGAACAATGAAAATACATCCTGCATATCAGATATTTACATTACAATTCATAACAGTAGCAAAATTACAGTTATGAAGTAGCAACGAAAATAATGTTATGGTTGGGGTCACCACCACATGAGGAACTGTATTAAAGGGTTGCGGCATTAGGAAGGTTGAGAACCACTGGAGAGGAATGATATACTAATTAGCCAGGCCTGGGTCCTGTGCCCATCCTTTGAGCTGGCAGAGAAATTTCAAACCACAGGAGTGAAGTCTGGGAGGGCACAAAAATTGAATTCCATTTGGGTGTTGTTACTAGGAGAAGGGAGAATTCTGGTGAATGGGCAATAAAACAATCCCTAGGGTTCTAAACGTTGTCTTTGGAGCAATAATGGGGGATGCTCAGGCCCTGTCTGGGATAAGAGAGGAGATAGAAGAATCTAAGCATCATGTAGGGTCTGTTAAAAGACAGATAACAGCTTTGGCCCATTTGGCTCAGTGGATAGAGCATCAGTCCTCAGACAGAAGGGTCCCAAGTTCCATTTAGGTTAAGGGCATGTACCTCGGTTGGTGACTTATCATCCATGTTTCGGTCAAGGCACATGCCCAGGTTGCGGGCTCAATCCCCAGTAGAAGGCATGCAGGAGGCACCCGATCAATGATTCTCATCATTGATATTTCTATATCTTGCTCCCTCTCCCTTCCTCCCTGAAATCAATAAAAATATATATATATTTAAAAAGGCAGATTACAGTACACAACATGCTACTCTACAGGCTTTTTAAGGGGGAGGGGTTACTATGAGTATTAAGACCTTAGTACTAATTGGATGTAAATAACAATATCTTGAACTAGCTTAAGCAAATAATAATCTATATATATATATAAAAGGCTAACATGCAAAGTGTCCCCACCAGAGTTCGACAGGGAGACCAGGAGTTTGATCGCTCGCTATGACCACCAGGGGGCAGCGCGAAATGAAGGAAGGCCCCGGCTGGCTGGCAGCCAGAAGGAAGGCCCCGATTAGCCCTGATTGCCAGCCAGGCCTAGGGACCCTACCTGTGCATGAATTTCATGCATCTGGCCTCTAGTTGCTATATAATGTAATATGCCCATTTTATCTCAATAAAAATAAAATAATTGTTATTCTTATGGAGTGCTTACTATGTACCAGGCTCTGTTCTAATAATCTATCTCGTTTAATCCTTATAATAACACTGTGGAGTAGGCACTATTATTTTACCCATTGTATACACAAAAACTGGGACTAGGGAGGGTTAAACTATCCAAGGTGACATGGTAAGTGGCAAGGCTGGGGTGCGATGTGCTAGAACATGTGCACTTAACAACTGGCTGGTTAGCCTCTCAGAATCACAGTTTACAGTTTCTGTCTTTCTTACACACACGGTCCAAATCCAATTTCCTGAGGAAGAGATTCTCTGAATCACTTTGTTTTTTGAAAGTGCACAGGTAGCCCTGGCCAGTGTGGCTCAGTTGGTTGTGTCTTCCCTTGCACCAAAAGGGTGCCGGTTCAATTCCAGGTCAGAGCACATGCCCAGTCTTGGTCCTGCAGTCCAGGTGTGTATGGGAGGCAACTGATCACCACATTGATGTTCCTCCCTCCCTCCCTCCCTATCTCCCTCTGGCCCTTTCTCTCTAAAATCAATAAAAACATTAAAAAATATAAGTGCAGGGTACTCAGGCATAGCTCTACCCCATAACTAACAAGATCTGTATCTTTACATCTCTTAGTGGGGCTTTTCTCTAATCTTTGCTTCACAAATATTCTGCCCCTCCCCCAACAAATATTTCTTGAGCTCCTACTGTGTACCAGTCTTTGTTCTATGTGCTGGGAACACAAAAATGAACAAAACAGACGACCGAGGGCAGTGAATCAATAACAAAACATCCTACACATTAGATGATATTACCCACAGAGGATGCAAAATCTATACTAATAAAAGGGTAATATGCTAATTAGACTGGGAGACCTTCCAGGAGACCTTCCGGACAAAGCCATGGTGGCGAG